ATGTATTCACTATGTGTTCATATTTTCATTGCATTTCCTTACCTACATTGTATGTTCATAACTTCGATTGTTGGGTTTAGATATTTAAGGTTTTCTCCCCTTTTGAAATATGTTATATAATGTTGCGTTTTCTTGTCTTAGGTAGAAATGGATGAAATTTTGCGTTTGAAAATTCATCATATTGGTGAGTTTGTGGACTCTGAAAAAATTATGTATGTGGGGGGTAAATGCAATGATTTAGAAGTAGATGCAGATAAGTGGAGTTAATTTGAATTGGTTGGTGCTCTGAAAGATCTAGGTTATATTGGGGTAGACACCATCTATTATAATGAACCCACTTTTGGGATGAATGTTCTTAATAATGACAAGGGTGCGTTAGAGATTGCTGACCTCTGTAGGGTACACTTAACAATTGACATTTACATAGAATATTCCCTATTCCAACCAGAATATGTTTATAGTCCTATAGAAGAATCCATAAACATGGAGGAAGAACCTATAGACATTGAGGAAGAATACTTACAAGAAAAACCTATAAGTATGTTTAATCTGGAGGTAGAAGCCATACTTAAAGATATTTATGAAGAAGTCACTAAGCATGATAAAAAAAAGGTAGTGATGATGTGAACAATGATGTTGTAGAGTGTATCAATGTAAGTACTAAGGAGTTGAACATTGATGGTGTTGAAGGTGTGAATTTTGGTCGTGAGGATTTGAACAATGATGGAGAGGTGCATGATGGTGTAAATAGTATTGCTGGTTAGTTGAATGTTATTAAAAGCTTTGATGATAGTGAGGATGAGACATACAACTATGATAGTGCTTTGGAAGTTGCCTGTAGTGATTCTGATATAAGTGTGAATTATTTTGAAGAACATTTAGACAACCTAGTTGAATATGATAGAAACCATGAAGGAACAAGTAAAAAGAAGAAAAATAAATGGGAATGAGAGAGTGGAGAGGAGATGGAAGTGCATATGATAGTGATGAGTTAGAAAGTGGTTGTGATAGTGAGGAGAGTGATGCACCCAAAAAGAAGGAGTATCCCATGTTCAAGTTAATGAAAGAGATGTTAAGTTATAAATGGGAGTTGGGAACTTATTTTAAAACAAAAAGTGACTTTAAGGAAGCAATTCAAACCTATGTTGTCCAATTTGGGAGAGCTCTAAAGTATTTTTAAAAATGACAAACAAAGAGTGAGGGTGGGGTGTAAGGAAGGTTGTCAGTGGTCTGCAAGTGCAACACAAACATCTCAGACACCAACACAAACAACTCATGCATCACAACAAGGAGGGAGGCCAAATAAGTTACCTATTAGGAAACCAACTCAGTCATATGCTACAAAGGGTGCAACACAACCATCTCAAACAAATCAATCATCTTAGCAAGGAGGGAGGCCAAAGAAGTTACTTGACCTACTCACTCATCTGTTACAAAGGGTCCAACTACCAGACTTAATGCATCACAAAATGCAGTGGGACCAACAACTAGGAGGACCGCTCCAACAAAAAGAAACAATCTATAGAAATTTTTTTAGTCATGTCTCAATTTGTATAAATTATATGTAATTTCTGTTTTGAGAATATGGTTGGTGTCATGTATGTTTTGAGACAATGTTTATGCAAGGCTTATGTCATGTATGTTTTGAGACAATGTTTATGCAAGGTTTATGGCATGTATGTTTTGAGACAAGATTTATGTCTTGTATGTTGAGACAAGGTTTATGTCAAGTATCAAATTTATGTAATAAGTGTCTGTTATTTTGAACAATGTTTAATGAAGTGGAGTTTTATCATTCAACATTCAATTATAATTTTGTTTTATCATTCAACATGCAATTATGATTATGTTTTATCATTCAACATTCAACTGGTGCAACTAAAAATGCAACAAAATAATGCCAAAATATTCATATAACATTCATAAAATATTCATGATTCAACAATGCAAGTTCGAACTGATATGATCAACTTTTACATAACACAATAATGAACACAACATAGAACATAACATTGACAACAATAAACTTCCAACTCTTACAACTACTTGGATACTAAAACAAAGAACACAACATAGAACAAAAACTTCCAATTTTTTCCCCACTTGATGGTGTTCTTCAAATCATCTTCTAGCTTCAGATTCTTGAGTCTGGACTCTTCAACTTCATTTTTTGCTTCCTCCATCTCTTGAGTTAGCACTTCTACCTTACTTTGTTGATTCATAATGATTTGCTCCTTTTCATCCATAGCTTCTTCATAGAACCATTCAAAGAATCCACAACCAGCATTACAATATCCTTTTTGAGATTAAAAATATTGCAATGTAGTAAATAGACATTTCAACAATATTTCAGCCAAAAGGGGTCAGACTAAAGTTTACTTTAAAATGTTGCCGATCCTAAAAAGCTTTCCATAATTGTTGACAGTTATTTCCCTTCAAAGTACAACAATGTCTCCACAACGATAGAAAGGCTGCCATGGAAGATTCGAGCTGCTAAAGACGTGCAAATCACTTCTTTTTTCCGATGATGAACTGCGCCCATAACTCATTGTTATTGCAAAAATTGGCACGAATTAGGTTTCAATTTGGGGAATTTGTTAGACAAATCACGTTATGTTTCAAATTGGGTGTAAACTGAATGTGTGTTGTGTGTTTCAGCATCAATGAAGAATAAGGTGCTAAGTAGACATTCCACCTCAGCTGACACGTCTTGGGTACTAACTTCATTTAGCAGAATTTGACAGAAATTACTAATTTGAATCTGTTTGACAACGCAAGAGACCAACTTTGACGTTTTAAAAGAAAGATGACCAAAATAGAATCAGAGGTAAAGGTAAGGGACTAAAAATGATATTAAGCCTCTCTCTCTCTCTCTCTCTCTCTCTCTCTCTCTCTCTCTCTCTCTCTCTCTCTCTCTCTCTCTCTCTCTCTCTCTCTCTCTCTCTCTCTCTCTCTCTCTCTCTCTCTCTCTCTCTCTCTCTCTCTCTCTCTCTCTCTCTCTCTCTCTCTCTCTCTCTCTCTATATATATATATATATATATATATATATATATATATATATATATATATATATATATATATATATATATATATATAAACAAGAAATGAATATGGTAGTGTAGCATATATAAACAGGAAAGAAAAAAGTTAAAAGAAATGAAAGTAGGTTCAATTTACTTGTAAGATATGTATATAAGTTTTGAAAATTTTGATTTTGAGCAAAACATCGTATTGTCTCTCATCATAAATAAACTTATTTCCTAGAAAAGAAAGTACAAAATCATTGGGATATGGCATTGACTTGAATTTCTTCAAACTTCTCTTGTTCTTTTGTAAATGTGTTTCTATTTTCATTAGTGTAAGTTGTTGAATTTCTTCATTAGCACTGTTAATCCTATGGTAGAAAAAGAATTAGTTCTAAAAATTATATAGTATAAGTATAAATAAGTATTGAACAAACACATTACGTGAGCAAATAAACAAAAATCATATTAGCAAGTCATTTTGACGATGTTTCAATCCAATAACATCTAAAGCATAACAAAACAATATAAAGAAAGAATGTTAGCTAGTCATTTTGACTATGTTTCAATCCAATAGTAAAACATAACAATGATATTGGAAAGCATTAGTTTTCATAATAAAATATCACCATATATTGGAAATTTCCATTGAGAAAATGTTCAAAGACTTAAACTTGAATTGATGTGGAGGTATTTTTGGTATGTCAAGATTGGTAATAGTTGTTCCTCCAATGAAGACAAGTTTAAGGTTGTCGGGACATACTTTGAATGGATCATCATTCATCATTGATTCTCTATTATATAGACAATAAGTTTCATATTTCCTGATTTATTCAATCCAATCTTTAAGCTCTCGATTTCGAGTCGTCACATGAATTCGATCCCCATGAAATGATCGAAAAATTAGTAAGTCATTTATACAAACTAAATATAAGCAATTATTACCTTTTTATCTTGAGTGACCAATTCAAGATGGTTTGGTTGGGTGAGAAACATGAACAAATCCTTCAACAAACATGAATGAATCCTTCAAGTAACACACAATGAACAAACAAAATGACATTTTCATTGAACCTTTTGAAGAACATAATGAACTGGTTCGGTTGGCTGAGAAACATGAGCGAATATGTTAGTGAGAAAAACCAAAAATGTTGTTTCACGAAATGGATGAACAACATACCACATTGATTCACCTTGATGATGAACAATGATTTTTTAAGAGAAACACAAATAATAGAAGAAAGATGAGTAAGAACCTTGTAATGAATGATGTTTGATGAGTTGAGATTGAAGCTTCTCGAAATGAGGTTGAAGACAAAGAGATAGTGTGTGAAGAGAGAGAGAGAGAGAGAGAGAGAGAGAGAGAGAGAGAGAGAGAGAGAGAGAGAGAGAGGTGAAGTGGAAAGAAAGAGATAGTGAGTATGTGAAGAAGAAGTATATTTTGGTGGAACAATTTTTGTTTTGTTAAAAAGTCTAATAAAAAACTGACACGTGAAAGTGTATTGAGAGGGTATAAGTGATATAATCGACACATTATTTGATTACTGATTATCCGTTTTAGTAGTGTAAATTCTTTTTAAGGCGAAGGGCAATTTAGAGAGTTAATGACAATGTAATTGTAATGAGTTAATAGTTGATAAGAGATTAATATTTGAAAATGTTTTTTTTTTTAAACGAATCCTTGCATGTCTAAAATTGTCATTTCGATTATCAAGTTTGTTTCTTTGTGTTTGCAAACTTTTTGTACTAAAAAATGAATATGCTGTTGGCGAAACATAAAAAGAAAGTTCTTAGAAAAAAGAAAGAGGCAACGCTACCCTATTCCGTTGGGTGTTGTTCTTTCTTGAAATTCTCTCTCTCTCTCTCTCTCTCTCTCTCTCTCTCTCTCTCTCTCTCTCTCTCTCTCTCTCTCTCTCTCTCTCTCTCTCTCTCTCTCTCCACAAATTGCAAAATACGGACTCGAAATAGAAAGCTTCCATGGGTCAAGTTTTTCGGAAGCTCTTTGACACCTTCTTTGGCAACTCTGAGATGCGGGTACTTTCTTCTTCTTTTTCTTCTGCTCTGTGAAATTTTCATGCTTAGTTAAATTGCTTGATCTTCTTGCTTGTGATAGGTTGTGATGCTTGGTCTTGATGCTGCTGGAAAGACTACTATACTCTACAAACTTCACATTGGAGAAGTTTTATCTACCGTTCCCACTATTGGTCAGTCATTCTGGTTTATTTTATAACAATAATCCTCATAATTAACTCTTTTAGATTGTATACTTTTTAGGGTTAGAATTTAGAACCCTAAACCCCTTGTTAAGAATGTTGTTTTCTTAGGTGGGTCTATGTGTTGTTTTTGAATGCTTATTTAAATTTTATTTGGCTTTCAGGTTTCAATGTGGAGAAAGTTCAGTATAAGAATGTTGTTTTTACAGTTTGGGATGTTGGAGGGCAAGAGAAATTAAGGCCACTTTGGAGACACTATTTTAACAACACCGATGGTCTGGTAAGAATCAAAATCCTTGCTTTCGTGTCGCTTGCTCAGTGAAAATTGAAATTCTGATATGTTGGCGGTCTTGTGAAAATTTCAGTCTTTCATCCTCGCTAATATAGGCATATAAGGTAGTAAGGTTGATATTATATGAAGATGTGTGCATTTATGCAGATTTATGTTATTGATAGCCTCGATCGTGAGAGAATAGGTCAAGCAAAGCTGGAGTTTCAGGTTGTAGTGTAAAATTTCACTATTCATATCATATTATATGTGATCAAGATGCCGAGTGTATTATTTCAAACAAACTCTAATTTGATTCATTAATGGTGCGCAGGCAATCATAAATGACCCTTTTATGCTTAATAGTGTCATATTGGTGTTTGCAAACAAACAGGACCTGGTAAGTCATTGTTACTTTTTTCATTTCTGTTCTTTCTGCTGCATAAGCTGACATTGTAGTTATCTCTGTGACCGTTCGTCCTGCTGCTTTTTCATATGCATTAAGTAATCATTAATATCCTATACTACTAGCCGATTTTTTGTTTTCTTCATTAAAATACTCTCCAACAATTTAAGTTTTGGTTTGTGCTCAAGTCTGATCATAACAGTTTTATATTTCTTTTCATCTTTTGTAGAGAGGAGCGATGACGCCAATGGAAGTATGTGAAGGACTAGGTCTCCTTGATCTAAAGAATAGGAAATGGCACATACAAGGCACCTGTGCCCTCAAGGGAGATGGCCTTTATGAGGGCTTGGACTGGTTGGCTTCGACTCTGAAGGCGATAAAAGCTGAAGGAACCTCGTCCTTCTAATTGTCAAGGTTTGAACTATACTTTCTTTTGTTCACATTTTTGTGTATCATTTCATGATGTCATGTGCATTATTGTATATTGCAGGTATTTTGGTCCGCGTCATTGACGGAAGAATGTGTAGAGTTTAGCTAGTTTCATTCAAGAATGTTGTAGAGCGGAGGAAAAGTTTTAACCCAGGTTATGTAAATATACTAGACCACAACACTTCCAGTCATGATATCATGATATATATACATGAAGTTGGAATTTGTGTATCTAGTATTGGAGATGGGTTAGTTATTAGTTGGTGTTTGTTACTAGTTAGTTAATGCCTATACATAGGCTTGGGCAGTCAATTGTACTTAACTTTCTCATATGTAATATTTTCACTATCATTAATACACAAGAGTTTCAAGCTTTTTTCTCTACCTTTTCCATCGATGTTATGTTTCATAACATGGTATAAGAGCAAATTTGGTATCCAGCTTAAGGGAATTTTTCGCTGCATCTTTTCAAGAAAATCCAATTTTCTCACCTCTAAGTCTCAATTACTCATCGTTCTCTTTTTCTTTGATCTCTATTAAACCAAAATTAATCCCTATTCTTTGATTCTTGCTCTTCAATTTTGCAGTTGGAAGTTCTTATTTTGTTCTCCAACATGGTTTCTATATTCTGTCTTTGGTGGTTAAGTGTGGATGATTCAGAAGAAGATTCTCCGCTTGAGGTTAGAATGCTTAAGTGCTTGTCATCCTGGCTCATTGAAAGTCTCGGAGTTGGAAAACTATTGTTACTGCTACAATGATTGGAAGATAGATCCAAGTCCTTCCTTCATTGAATTTAGGTTCAAATGGAGATTGCTAATACTGATTGCTTTGTTCATTGATTGTGGATCTCGTTTTAGCCTAGTGACTCATGTTTGCTTATGTTAATAATCTGTAACTGTGAAGATTGAAGAACATAGTTGAGCTCCGTGATATGCTTCATTAGCTCTTGTTGTAGCTGTTGTTGCATATGAAGAAGAAGAAAAAAAGCTACCGATGCCATTTTGGAAGATGATGTTGTTGTGATTGCATCCGCTAGTATTGTTTCATTAATTTTTGCTGCATTTGTTGCTATTGTTGACTTGCGTCAAGCGCTGGCATGTTTAATTTGCTTCTTTTTGCTGCATTCTGAAAGATTGATGGACACTTTTCCACTCTGTATTCCTCTTAATTTTTATTGAAATGAAGTAGTTTGATATCATGGTAAAAATAAGCTAGCATGGAGCTAATTAAGTTATTTTGATGTGGTAAAAGGAATTAAGAAAAGGGTACAAGGTTGAAACTAATTCCAACAACCAAAACTATTGAACTGAAACTGGTTCTGGAATTTTATCTCAACCAAACATGCCATGTTGACTTGGCTGGCAAATAAACAAACTATGTAATGTTTTGAACAAGTCAATGGTTGGACCATGTGATTTCCTAATATATTATTAGGATCACCCTTCAAGGATGCAATTATTAAAGAAAGTAAGAAGCTTTGCTACCTGTTGCCTTTTGGTATTGTTGTTTGTTGAAATTCAAACTCCAAACTTCGATCCCTCTCTCTCTGTTTCTGATTCTTAGCACAAATTGCGAATTCCAGAGTGGTTGGTTGCAGATACAGATACAGACATGGGTCAAGCTTTTCGGAAGCTCTTTGACACCTTGTTTGGAAACTCTCAGATACGGGTATCAACTCAACTATCAACTACTTTTTCTATGAAATTTGTTTGTTTTCTTGATTGCTTATTCACTATATTGATCTGTTTCTAATCACAGGTTGTGATGGTTGGTCTTGACAACGCGGGCAAAACAACTATACTCTATAAGCTTCAAATTGGAAAAGTTATAACCACTATACCTACTGTTGGTAGGTCTTGTTTTATAATTATCTTCATAATCAACTCTATGTTGTTTCTGTAGGGTTAAAATTTTATTTTGCCTTTCAGGTTTCAATGTGGAGAAAGTCGAGTATAAGAATGTTGATTTTACAGTTTGGGATGCTGGAGGCCAAGGACTATATAAACTAAGGCCACTTTGGAAACACTATTTCAACAACAATGATTGTCTGGTAAGAATCAATTTCCTTGCTTTTATGTCTCTTTTCTCACTGAAAAGAAAATTTTCGCTATGCTTGAAGTTTAGTGAAATATTCCTTCTTTCACCTACATTATTATGCGCCTTTATGCAGATTTATGTTGTTGATAGCACGGATCGTGAGAGAATTGATCAAGCAAAGCAAGAATTTCAGGTGATAAAATCAAATTTCAGTATAATATTATATTATGTGTCTGCGCTTATTGTTGATAACAGAATTGATTCATAGATTATTTGCAGATAACCATAAAAGAGCCTACGATGCTTAACAATATTATATTGGTGTTTGCAAACAAACAGGACCTGGTAAATCTTTGTTTTTTTCATTTCTTTTTTCTTTTAAATTTTTTTTTTTAATTTTGTAGTTTTGCTTTGTGCTTAAGTCATGACTCATAACCATGATTATCAAAAAAATTTATTTTTTATTTGTAGAAAGGAGCGATGACGCCGACGGAAGTTTGTGAAGGACTAGGTCTATTTGAACTAAGGAATAGAAAATGGCACATACAAGGAACTTGTGGCCTTAAGGGAGATGGTCTTTTTGAGGGCTTAGACTGGTTGGCTTCAACTCTGAAGGAGAAAAAGGCTGCTGAATACTCTTCAATATAAATCTCATCTTTTCAATTGTTCATTTTCATTCAAGAATGCAGTAGAATGTAGGAAACTTTAACTGCAATCGACTTCGCAATTGTGTGCAGAGTCTTTAAACAAAAGAACTATCCTCTATGTGATAAACATGTCAACTGAAAAGGGAATTGTCTAATGTATTCATTAAATACTAAAGATATGATAAGATAAAAGAGAAAACACCTTTGGAAAACATTGTGTGCGAGCACTTCTTTAGTAACTGATCAAGAGTAGAAAAAGTACATGATCACACGACTTTCATAATTTTAAGTCTTCAAGCTTTACATAGGCCATGAGAACAAAGGCCATGAGTTGAACCTAAAAACTTTTTGCAATGTTCAATATGTTATGACCATTCGGTGCATCTAACACTTTCAGTGTCACTTGGTTATGCCATTGAAGTTCAACCTAACATTGTTTTTGAGAGGTTCTTATCCCACTCTTTGGAGTTCTTAGTCACCATGTGTGTTTTCTTAAGTGCTCTCAGGTTTTAGAGATTTATCTCCGGAATCACCATAAAACACATATTTTATTTGTTTGAGTCAGATTCTCAAATTTGTCACCAGAGATATATATTTAGAAAAATATAACGTTGAGTAAAAAAAAGGTATGTCTCGAGATATATCTCTGTAATCTGGAAACATTTAAGAAAACGTGCATGGTGGCTAAGAGACCTAAGGGGTGGGATAAGAAATTCTCTTGTTTTTTTCAGTGAACTTGAATACTTTGAAGGAGCCTATTATGCTTTGAACATAATTTCTTACCCCACCTCTTGGGGTTCTTACGCACCATGTGCGTTTCCAAAACTGCCTCCCTGCTTTCGGAGATGTATCTCTGTACGCACATTTTTTCAGTTTTTCCAAAAATGTCTTTCTGCTTTCGGAGATGCATATACGGAAGACATCCTTATTCATATTTACGGAAAAAAAATATCTAGAAATAGAATTCTATAAAATCAACATTGCAATAATAAAATCAACATTCATAAAATAAAATCAGCGTTACATTAATGATTTTGACAAAAATTTAAATATTACATTTCAGTCGTCCGGTAGATGCCTGCACATCTCTAAGATGCCATCGACAGTTCTTCGAACCGCCGTCTCCAACTCGAGCGAAATCTTCTCCTCGAAATCGAAATATGTTCGCCACATCGCTCTAACGTCGTCTTGATCCTTGAGCTCAAACTTGTTGTAAACAACGTTTCCTTCGTTGTCAACTCAAGGTGAACGATACTCAAACTTCACAAACTTTCGTTTGTCACTGTAAGGTAGACGATATTGGATCCCGTCTATGATATTGACGAGAGGATTGAGATCCAAGAGTTTGAATGTCCTCCCAAGTGTTTTGCCGTCGAAAAAGGAGACACTTGCGACATACCAACGAAACTTAATTTCAAACAATTGAGACATTTTTGTATTTGTGTGAAAGATAACAAATGAAACCCCAAATTTATAGAAAACCTAGATGAATATGGACCAACCATTACCTGTCAAACTTGTTTTCGGAACTATATCCACAGAACGAACCTATCTTCGGAACTTCCGCTGAAACTGCATAATTAAGAACATTCCATATACAAATATAAAAGGACATCATAATATACAAATAAAAGGCATATATGCAAAAATAAGGCATGAGAATAAAATGTGACTATTTTACATTTCAAAAATTTACAATTAGTCGTCAGATTATACAAGAATTCAAAACGAATCAAAACAAGTGTCGTCGACTAAATCTATTGGTGGTACCCCTTTGGACTTTTTCGCATTCCATTCATTTGTAATGTTATTCAATCTTTCGTATTCATGCATCCTTTCAATAAAACGATACGGTCACGTCTCGACATTTGGGGTTGAATGAGTCGCCCATTCGATGATGTAGGTGATAAGTAAAAAAATGAATTAGTTTGAATATTAATTTTAAAAAGTGGATTATTTAAAAAAAAATTCTGAAAAAAACTCAAATGAAAAAAAAATGTAAAAAAAAAAAAAAAGCAAAACCCTAAAAGAAACATCAACAGCTCCCTCCATCAAATAAGAAAGAGCCCAGTCGCCGCCGTTCGTCGGAGAAACCTGTCCAGGCGGAGCTTCCATTCCTTCAATATTGTTTGCCACAATTTTTCCTTCCGGCGCTGTGTAATTTTCATTTCAATTTTCATTTTTACGTTTCTTCATTATACTTTCATTCACCGTTTTCATCTTGCTTTGGTTTGGTTCAGATGGTTGATATTTGAAATACATACATGGGAACAATAAATTCTCTATGGAATTTTACTAAAAAATTCGTCACAATTGGTCTCATTACTGTCACTGTATCCGATCGTTATGTAACTGTTGTACCAGTTCGTGGTGGCTCTATGTCTCCCACTTTAAACCCTAAAACTGATTCTTTCACAGGTTTTTTTCTGATACATTTCTTCATAAACGCGTTTTTAGGTTTTTACTTCTTACAATTGCGGTTTTCATCATTGATTGTATATTGCAGATGACTATGTCTTGGTTGAGAGATTTTGCCTTCAAAAGTACAAGTTTTCACATGGTGACGTCGTGATCTTCCGGTAATAATGTCGTTTATCATCCTTTTCCATGTATTATTTAACTTACTTTTTCATTTTTTCGCCATATTTCCTTTGTATATGATTGTTTGTTTGAATAAACAACGTAATTATTTGCTTATAGCATTAGTGTTTATCATATAAGTGCTTCTGTATAACCTATTTTTATGACTAAGTTAAAATAAAGTCAAGTTGTTTTTAGATAATGAGTTGTTTTCATAAGCTATCTTTGAGAGCTTATGAGCAAAAAATTGAAACCAACTTTAGACATTTCATAAGCTTTTTCTATAAGTGCTCCCAAACATTCTCATTATTGCGTACTACTTGCTCAAATAAGCCAAATCCAGATTAAAAAATGTCTGAAATTTAGTTTAATTAGTTCAACAGATAATGGTAGAACTGAGTGAACTAGCCACTATGAACCTTCATATTATTTTAACAATGGAAGACATGTATTTGGATTAATATTGTGTTTGTTTAGAAGCTATTGACATTGGATGGTTCATTGTGTTATGTACTCTATATTATCTGATTTGGTTATAGAAATTAATGACATATGGTTTGTATAATCATGTTCTAGTTTATGATATTGAACTAACAAAAAAAGATAAATTTTGTTTTATCTGAATTTATAATTGAAACCTAAGTTACTGTTTTTAGAAGTTGTTAATGACGTGACACAACCTGAAACTTTTGTAGTTCACCATTAAATTACAAGGAGACACACATAAAGAGAATACTTGCTTTACCGAACGAGTGGTTCGTTACTCGTCATAACAATGATGTACTGAGGATTCCGGAAGGACATTGTTGGGTTGAGGGAGACAATGCATCTTCCAGCATGGATTCAAAATCATATGGATCTGTAAGTTGGCTATTGCCTCTGTCAGTTTCTAGAATGACAATGTTAAGATATGCAAATTGAAGCAAGAAAACTAAGTCTTTATAAAAAACCATTTTAGTATTGCATTAACACTAGAAAGTTAGAAATCATAGCTCATAAGAATTACAATGCAAAGCATGAGTAGGCTAGCTTCTATTATTTCAATAACAGTTTTGTTGACTTATTTCAAAGCAAAAGAAATGGAGGCTAAGAGCTTCTTTGGTTAATTTTGTATCCTTAGATTGCACTGCGTAATGTATTTAAGCACAATGATGTTCACAATAGTTTCATCAGTGGATCATTTTAGTAATTTTCATTCCACATCTTTCATATTGTCCAAAACTAGCCAATTGTCTTGTCATTCGGCCCACCTAGACAAAGCTTAATATCAGCCTATTAATATATCACTCATTTGCTAAAATTGTTATTTTAAATTAATTTTTCATAAACAGCACATAGTTGTTATTGAAGTAGTTAGGAGTAAATACTGCAATGTTAGGCTTACCAGAAATTTTCTATTGATGCCCTGTTGTGGAATTTGTTAATGCTGTAATGTGGGTGATACGAATGCGATGGCATGTGATTTTTCTTTGAAACCTGTAATGGTTTGGTGACAGAGATGACAATTTTATTTGCAGGTTCCCTTGGGTCTAGTTCGAGGAAGGGTTACTCATGTTGTGTGGCCTCCTCACAGAATAGGAGCTGTCAAGAATACTAAAACAGAAGGATTACTACCTTCTCTATGATTGTATCCTAATGCTATTGTCTAACCTCTTTAAAGAATAGGTGCCATGAAAAGAACCTCACACCAGAAGTATAATCTTTTGATCTATAATGTTGTTCCCTCTTGTGGAAAACCATTTTTACTCAATTGGTCCTTGTGGAGAGAATTGACCAACCCATTTATTGATTGGATTAATATATACTATGAAACTTTTCATTTTGATTACATTTTAAGCAAAGTAATCTAAGATGGCACAAATAAGATGTGAATGATATTATAACTATTTTTTATTTTAAAGATAATAATTCTGAGGTGCCAATAAGTTTCTTAGTCCCCATTGTGTTGTTTACCACTATTCAAATATATGTAGAGCACCCAACTTTAATTATTGGTGTTTCTCAATGGGTGGTGGGGTTATAGGTGCACCAATATTTTGGGATGAGGAGAAATGTGGCGTATTACATACACAGCTAAAGATGTCATAATTAGGGAAATTGTGGGCATACTTTCTACTACCAGCACTTCAAATTGAAAGTCATTTTATAAGAAAATATTGTTTTGAAATATAAGTCACTTTATAAATTTTGCAATTTTAATGAAATACTAAAACAAAAATTTATATGCTCTTTAATATTATATTATATTTTTATAATTTTTAAAAAGTTTATTTTTTATCTTATACATTAAGAATAATTTTATCAATAACTTAATTATTTCTATTTTAAACAAAATTAATCATATTTTCTTAGCTTATAGCAAATGATGAAAGGAATTTATAATTTATTCCATATGCTAAACATTCAAATGCTCAATTTTCATATCGATGATTATATGAACATACAATTATTTGATGATTTGGTGTTTCACTAATGAAAATTCTCTTTAAGCGGTTAAATTTGTCTTAAATATTTTAAGAAACAAAATTCTCATGTCCAGTGTTAATCATTTAGCTTTCTAAGAGCAACTTTATTGCATGGTTGTTAAACCAAAATTTTGTATAGCTTATGTTAATAATAAAGAATTTGCATTATAGTAGAGCTGACATAGCATCTATAGCATCTAAGTGAACTAAAATTTAGTTCTCATTATCTATATAGTTAACGTTAACTGTGTAAAATATATTATAATATTATTTATTTAATTAATAAAATATTTCAACAGCATTAAAGTAATAGTATGATATTTGAAAATAGTGGGGTCAAGTTTTGATTTTTTATAGACAACACCATCATTAAAATAAAAACTACTCAAATCAACTATAAATTTTTTAAATCCTACAAAACACTTTGGGCCCACAAAATATTTTAGTTTACCCATTTAATTTACTCTCATTAAAAATGCTCATAAATTAAATAACCATTTAATATCAAAGTTGGACGATAAATTAGTTTTCTATCACCATTTTTTATTTTTGAAATGAAACATGGTTATAAAACAATTAATGTAACGTTAAGAATAATGTGTTCATAAGCTGAGAATCAAAATATAACTAGGTAAAGAATATAACTCTGTTAAGGAAATGTGTAAAAAGAAAAATTCATCTTTAAGGAGAAAACTATACTTCTATGTTCTTTCAACTGAGGCAGAAATATAAAATTACTTTTACTGTAATTTGAGGAATGAATTCAAGAGGCTCTTATAGCTCAGTTGGTTAGAGCACCCGTTTAGTAAGCGGGAGGTCTTGAGTTCAACTCTCAATGAGAGCAAATTTAACTTTTTCACTGATTTTTCAAAACTATACTCAAAACACACAACCTTTTTCACTCTATATATGAAAGAATATGAATGTACACAACTGGCTAGCCATACAATTACAACACTCTTAGCAAAAAAATTGCTTATTTGAATAATCTCTGATGGAAGCATTAACATACATGAATTCACCATCTTTCATCACCTATCCAGTAATTTTTCTCTTTTGGCCCTGTAGGACCTTCCTCTCCATACAGTTCCAGTGGAAGTTTTTTAAACAAACTACCAAAAGAATTCCCAAATCTTAGAGGAAGAGCATTTAATTTCTTATCAAGCTCAGTTTTTGAATCATACACAATTTTAGGACCCCACACTCTCATATACTGCAACCATTGAGGCTCTTTCACAACATCTCCTAAATACTCAGCTGCAACAACCTCATAATGAACACTCGAATCCACACGCAAACTACTACGACTAGCATCATTCCTAATTCCAATCCCAAGTTTGGAAGATCCTTGAATATATGTTCCAGGATGAGGGTAACTAGCATGTCCGTTTTTCGACGAGTACACAATAGCTTTATTGCCATCAATATACTCTAACTCATGTGCATCAACCCATTTACCACCACTGTGCTGTGAGAAATATATACTCCAAAGCTCTCCACTGAAATTGCATATTCTAAGTGTGAAATGCTCCCAATCACCAACATGTGCACCAACTTTGCTAAAAGCCATGTTTTTAATTCCAAATTTCAGAGTAGAGGGTCCATTGAAAGGACAGAAAATCCACATAACAATGTCTGTGAATGTTCCGCCAAATGCAGGTTTCACGTGAACATAAAGCTTAGCACTTTCTAAGTCCCCGTGTTTGATAAACTCCTTTCTAATATCATCATTTGGCAAATCTATCCAAAATTCTCCATCATTTGTTCCTCCACCTGGCAAATTTGATCCACCTTCATCAATAGCCTCGCCTTTAGACATGCCCTTTCGATACAAAAGGGCACCGTTGCTGAAAAACCAATCAACAGAAGAAGGCAGGTAAGCTTCCTCAGGATGAAAGAATACAGTAGGACCATAATGCTCTATAAGTGCATGTATTTGGTGAATCCGTGGCATTGCCGGTAGCGCAGGATTCAAATTCTTCAAGCACACAACAGGTAACTCTTCTCCCTTGTTCAAACAACAACTACTGCAGAAAAAAGTCCCCACTGAAACTCCTGTCCCTAACATGCCGCGGTCACAGGGTCTCAAGTTCCAAACCGAAAACGGAAACTCGGGAGATATAGATCCAGCATCAAGTAATGTGGAGTAAGGTTCACATTTATCAGTTAGGTCAACACGAACACAACTGATTTCATCTAAATTAGGCTTGTCATGGCTGTTAGTAACTAAGTAACCAAGAGCCTTATAACCTTCAGGAGGTTGAGGTAGCCAAACATAAGCAGAATCAGCAGGCATAGCAATTTTCTTTCTTCCTGAATCAGTACACCATACTAGAGTATAATCAAGAGGGTTCGTTAAAGCAGGTAATTTCTTTTGGTTGCAAATGTTATATGAGGAATTTTCCACTTGTTTAGCAACAAGTACAAAACCCCATAAAGGCTTGTAGCTAGGTTGACAATAGTGACCAAGGATGTGAAACCCATCTGGAATTCCCACTGGTTTAAAGAACGCAACAGCTTTACTTGGCTCCACCATCACATTGCTGTTCCAAACAAACTCAAACTCAGTGACCTTAGATACTTCAATTTCGCCAAGGCTCACAACTCCAGAAGCAAAACCCTCTTCTGTAATCAGTCAAGTAATCACATAGAAAAATAACTTGATTAGAAGAAAAAATTAAAATAGTTCACCGAATAAGATGACTAATGACCAAACAAATTCTTACTTACAATCAAAGTTAACATGATATAAACAATTGCATAATGGATTGATGATTCATCAGAGACACGGTCACAGTATATATGAAATGAAAGAGTGGTAAAATCAAACAAGAAAATTAGAGACATAAAGTAAAACATATGAGTGAGTGTTTTTACCTTTGGGCCATTGGGGAAGAGGAGTGGGAAGAGAAAAAGCACGAAGAAGATGATCGGCGTTGGGTTTGGAAGGTAAACACCAGTTGAATTTGGAGCGAAGCATATTGAGAATAAAGTAAACAAGTGTTAGAAATTGGTTCTTGAGATTCATCAGAGTCGTTATTATCATCATCGTCGTGAACGAATAATCTAATTTACAAAAATTAAGAAAGAAGCATCGTTTTCAAGTGAAGAATTGAAGAGGGACCTTCTCTTTCATTGTCAACACTCTGATGATCGACATGTTTGCGTGTTAATTAATTATTCACTCACTGTTGCTTCTCGCTTTTTCCTTTCACCTTTACTTTCCCACAAGTTTCCTTCTAGTTTTTTCGTTCCCTTCCTTTCTTTTTTGTCTTGTTTCATAAATATATTTGTAATTTTATCTTTCTTTCATCTTCTTGTTTATTTTATCTTTAAAAACCACCATTATCAACATAACAAATTCCAAATCCCATAGGTTAATGCTTTATTATTTATTATTATTTAAATCCTCCTTTTTTATTTTTAATATAAAAAAATTTCAATTTCAATTTCAATTTATTTAATTTTGACACTTTCTTCTATTTTCAGTTCAAGTAATTTTAATAGTTTATAACAAAATATGAATTTTATGCATAAATTCATCAAAAGTGGCATTAATTACTTAGTTTTACAACAAATAAAATCAATATTTAAATACTTTATATTTTCTAACTTATTAGTCCCCTTTAAAAAAAATCAGATATTGGTCCCCTGTTCTAAATATTTTTAGAATTTTTTTTTGTCCCCTCTCAGATTTGGTTATGTGGAAGCCTCATTTATGATGTGGCAGAGGCTGTGTTGACCAATTTTAAAAATTATATTGCCATGTCATTTAAAAATAATTTTAATAATTAATATAATTAAAAATATTTAAAATAATTTTTTTTATTTATAAAATAAAACCTCAAACCTATTCTTTCTCCTTTTTAATCGTGTTCTTCGCATTTACACCTAGAAAATCCTAACTATCCAAGTTTCCAAATTCTTCAACACACCACTTTAGGTTGAAGTGAACCGCAACCTAAAGTCAAAAAAATTTGTACAAAATGACCTAAGAATGAAAAATTGAACACTGGCCCCCAAATTTCGATTTCAATATCTTTTCTTTCACTATGCAATTAGTAATTTTCTTTTTCTCTTTCATTTCATTTCAAATAATTCAATCAAAAATATAAACAATCTAAAACAATTAGCAATAACGGATGGATCATCATAATGAGAAAGCATACACATTGGATCAAACACTCACCTAAAGGTTAAAAACTCATCCAAACAAGTGAGAGAGACACTACATATTCGTCCAAAACCTTAAGGTGATAGGTGTATCGGTCCTCTTACTTATAAAGTGTTTAACCTCCACTTTTTTAGACAATGTAAGACTTAGAACTCACACTTATTTCTCCACACAACTCACATTTATTTCCCAACAGTCTCCCCCTCAAGTGTGAGTCAATCCATTATGCTTTCCCTCAAGCGGAAGCTCTTTCGTTCAAATGTTTGTAACGTCGTTGAGAGACACTTTTATCTCGTCATGGGCATTTCAACGAAACACGCCGCTCGACCAACATGTCAAGAAGACTTTCGACACAGGGAGACAATCCCTTACTCGAACCAGACTCTAATACCACTGATGGGCCATCAAGAGGGGGAAGCATACACATTGGGTTAAACACTCACCTAAATAAGTGTGAGAGACACCACATATTCACCAAAAACCTTAAGGTGATATGTGTATGGTTCCTCTTACTTATAAAGTGTTTAACCTCCACTTTTTTAATCAATGTCGGACTTATAACTCACACTTGTATCTCCATACAACTCACGCTTGTTTCCCAACAATAATAATGGCCGCAAAGGTAAGAAACAACAAAAGAAAGCACGGTAAAATAAATTCACAGATTCTCGCACACGCCACTCTTAGATCCAAATCTCCATTAATTCCTTTCTCATTTGCTTAGAGCAATTTGGATCTCAATTGAAAGTAATCGAATTCGGTTCAACTTCCAACGATGAATCCATTCTCCCAAATATACACAATAATTAAAACTAGTTCAAACATAATCTGGTTCTATAGTTTGAAACAAGTCGATATGAACAGAACTAGTTTCAAAATATAAAATGGTCTGTAACCGAATTGAAACTGGTTTGTGAACTTGGACAATTAGGGTTTTCTGAGTGTAAATGGGAAGAACATGATTGGAAAGGGGAAGAATGAGTTTGAGGTTTTATTTTATAAATAAAAGAATTATTTTAAATGATTTTCAATTGTATTAATTAATTAAAATTGATTTTAAATAATGTGGTAATACAATTTTCAAAGTTGGTCAACACAATAAATGAGGCTTCCATATAGCCAAATCTGGAATGAGACCAAAGAAATCTCAAAAATATTCAAAACAGGAGACCAAATACTTATTTTTTTTAAAGGGGAGCTAATAAGTTAGAAAATTTAAAGTACCGGAACTAAAACTGCATTTAAGTCTAAAATCAAATATTTTAAGTGTTGTTTTAGGTTGATGTTCATATACTTATAATAAGCATAAGATACATTATACACACAAATTCAAGCAATCATATATATATATATATATATATATATATATATATATATATATATATTATATATATATATATATATATATATATATATATATATATATATATATATATATATATATATATATATATATATATATATATATATATATATATATATATCATCTGAAAATTACATGGCATCTTATGTAAATAAAAATGGTTACTGAATATGAACAATGAAAGGAAAAGATATATAGTTATATACCCAATTTGGTAAGGACACAGTCCCTTCGTCAGCTGTGAATTCTAAAACTCCACAGTGAGTCGTTCTATCAGCAGAAGAATTTCTCAGTTCAAATAGCATTGGATATTCTATGTTCATACTTGCTGCAAGATTTTAACAAGAATATGAGTATGAATTTAGAACAAGAGTAAAAATAATCAACTTGAATGACAAATATATAAAGCTTACCGAGTCGATCTAGAGCTGAAGCAGGCATGATAACTGAAAGACAAAAGAATTTGCGTTAGATATAGAAATTATCACAATGTCTGGTACCAAAGTAAGATGATAGTGCACTTACTTTTATCACCGTATTCCAGAATTGGCGGCATAAAATCAGAAAAGGAAGAATCAGTATTATTCAAGAAGGATGATTGATACTCATATTTTGGACTAAATATGTGATGACATACCCTATCAAGAGATGAGACCGAAAAACAACTATAAGCATGCTCAAAAGTTGAATTCTGCCGATAATCATTCTACTGCAGATGAATATCCTCATTCGACCGATTTAGATGCACATTCTGGCGCAGATTCCTAGGATACTCAAGAATATCCTCAGCAAACTGACCTAGATCCTCATAAAAATCCTCAACCGACTCAGAATCATATTCATCTAAGTCATTACTTATTTGATCTTCAGACAAATTGTTTTCCTCTTGCAAATCCTCATTCAACTGATTTTCATCCGAATTATACAAGAAAAAAAACAGTTAATGCCACCACATTAAAGAACTCAGCATTAATATATATTCTGAATTAAGAACATAAAAACTAAAATAAAAAACGACAAATAACATACCATATTGAGCTGAAAATAGATGATAATCGATTAAAACAAACAAAACAAAACAACTCTAAGCAAAAAACCACCGAGTATTGTTAAGGGAAGAAAGTCCAATGCTTTGAAGAAAATTTCTCGTCTCAGAAACAAATAGAGATTTTAATAAGATTAAAGTTTTTACTAGTTTATATAATGGCATGTGACAGGTCAAACAATCGTAATTTTAGGCTTTAAAAGTCTTAAATTTATTACAATCATATGTAAATATAATATTTATTTTTTAATTTATTAATTATAATTATTATTATATTAATAGAAATATCATTGTTTTATTTATTTTATAAATATAATCTATAACATTATATTTTTCAAATGAACGCTAAATTTTATAATATAAATATTAGATTAAAAACATATTAAATATGTTATATATTAAATTTGTCATTGATAGTGACCCAATAAAACAAATATTCCACGAATCAAATCAAAATATAAAATAATATCTCTTTGACAATTATTTTCTAAAATAATTTTAGAAATATTTAATTTGATGAGATTTTGTAAGGTTAGTAGGTCATTTATTTAAATTAAATTCATTAACAAATTGAAGATTAGTTGCCGTAAAAAAGGTTTTGTTTTTATAATAATCATGATTTTCAACAATAATATTAAAATAACTATTTTTTCCATATTTTTTTCAAATGCCCATGTTTTAAATATAAAATAATTATGGTGCACAACTCAAACCAATTAGATTGAAGTCCCCATATAATATTTTAGAAGACAAACCAACTAAATTGAGGCTTCCATTAGAGCAAGCCAATCAAATTAAAATATATTCTTTATTTTTCAAAACGAGCATCAATTTATCTAATGTTTCTTTTGTTTGTTTTTTAATTAGTAATAGAATATTATTAGATTAAGATCCGCAAATTACATTTTTTATTAAATTTTAAATATATTTTAAAAAAATTTAATGAGTATGATCAGTAACTTTATATCATTATTAATTTATTATGAATTTTAATTGAGATTTATTGAAGTATTTAATTTTAAAAAGCTAAATAATTTAATAAAGTATCACTTATGATTTATATAATTTTTTAAGTGGAATACAAGACTATACACTTATGTGTGATAGGGATCCCCGTCGCATTACACCTCAAGTGAGATATGAGTTTGAAGACTTAGCCGCATATGCTCTTCTTACCAGTTCAAGAGACCCTTATACTTTTTGATAGGCTATGGCCATCCAAGTGAAAGATAAATGAATGCGTGCTATGGTGAAGGAAATAAAGTCCTTGAAAAAGAACGAGACATGAGATCTTGTTCAGCTGCCATAAGGAAAAAAAGTTGATTGTTGCAAGTTTGTGTACAAGAAAAAGCCAACCGTAAGGGAGTTGTGAAAGAAGGGGCTGCTAGAGAATAGGGAGCTCTTGAAGAAGAAAGGATTGTAGGGTGAACGGAATTTTGTTGTACTAGTAATTCTAGCTGCACTAAAGTAGTTTTGTAGCCTGCTTTGTAAACAAATACATAGCCCCTGACCGTTTGAGTCGTTGCAAGCCGGAAAGCGTACTAGCTGTTTGAATCATGAAAGGGCTGCTTGCTTAATCTTAATTTTATAGTATATATACAAACAAAGAATTTTTTTTATCTAATTATTTATTCTTGGTAAGAGGAAGAAGTAGATAGAGTAAAGGCCTCCTCTTTCCATTCACTCTTCCCGAAGTGAACGAATTGCATGTAGAGATCTGTAGGGGCTTATAGTTTAATTAGTTGAAACGTACCTCTCCTAACAGTAATATTGTAGGTTCGAGCCTTACTAAGCCTAGGACCCCCATCTCTTCACCTGATACAAGAAGGCAGTCAAAGTCCCCTCCACTGTTCATTTTTTTGGGAAGACATCGCGTTCCTGGTCGATTTCCCTCATGGCACCGCCCCTTTAATTCTACAAAGTGAACCAAACATAGAGACAGATCATTGACTATCTATCCTGTGATCCAACCACAGATCGGTATCAGTAGTCTCAGTCTTTTCCAGCCCGCCCTAGTATGAGTTGAGAGTCTAAGAGGAAGTCTTATTCTACTCTAGGCTCAATTCACCCATGTGTTGTCTTATTTCAGGAGGGAGTAGATTGTTAAGAAATCCCTAACTCTGTCTTTGGGCTAAAGCCTATAGTTACTTTCCTCACTAATGAAAGTCTCTTAGTAAATAGCATCAGCTCTTCCGGGTGAAAGCCTAAGTAAGATGTATTCGTAAAGGCTATCCATAAGCATTAATTCTCCTCCTGATCTTCCTCCCAACCTCAAGATTAACAACGGATGACACCTTCTTCCAAAATTCCTCCCTTTTTGCTTTGCTCCAATGAAAGAGATTGAAAAAGATCCGTATCCAATTCCTCAAGTCTTACTGCGTTAGCTTCCATAAATAGGAGGCTTTAACCTATAATAAAAGCAGCTTATTAGTAGGAAGGAAGCAAAGAAAAGTATGCCCTACATGTCAACATGGTGGAAGTTCAAAGCATTGAAGATGAGTACATGGAAGCACCATTGAAAAAAGTTCAGAGCGTAGATATAACCTTATCGACAGAAGACATCTTGTTGGACAGGAAGAAACATAATGTTCATTTTGTACTAAAAAAATTGTTAAATATTTATATAATTTTCTCTCTCTTTGTGGGGTCATCTTTTATTTACTTGTGTCAGATTTTATTATATTGTTTTTCCCTCCTTACTTTTCACTATTACACACATTCTTCATCACACACCATTGTTTAATATCTTCACCATGAATATTGTATTTTCATCTTCAACCATACTCAATTTAATTATGAAAATAATTACTATATTAAAAAAATTTGGTAAAACAAATTTAGATAATACAGTGCAAAAAGTTGGTTAATCGTATTTAAAGTTTGGTTAATATGGACTCAAACGTCAAAACATAAAAAAGTTACAGTAACACAAAGTTGGTTAATGCAGTTGAAGAAATTGGTTAATTCCATTTAAAGTTTGGTTAATATAAATTCAGACATTAAAACATAACAAAATTGGGTAATAAAACTTTATTAATTGAATGCAAGAAGTTAACTAATGAAGTTTAAAGTTTTGTTAATATATATCCAGACATTAAAATATAGAAAAGTTATTAAAAAATTTGATTAATACATTGCAAGAATTTAATTGAGATGATTTGAGATACAAATAAAAAAAAAGGTGGGAGAGATTAAAATATGGTGCAAGAAGAAGGGGGTAACAATAGAAAGTAAAGAGAGAGAGAGAGAGAGAAATTGTTAATTAAATTGAGATCCACTGTTCAGAATATACGGCGTAGTGTAGATGTGGGTGTAATAATATCATTTCTGTTATATCATAACTCTTTTTTCGAATGTCTCAACTTTCTTTCTCAAAAATCCGGACCGGACAGGGGTGCGGAAATAGCAAGAATTGAATGAGTAGACTCTTGTCAAAAGGTTGTTTGGCGAATCCACATTAGCTAACTTTACACAAAAGGACCACCACCATTGATACATTATAATGGATTAAGTGGCAAACCTATATTATGCCCAAGCGCAAACTTACTTAAGTATTCGAAAGAAATTAAACTGAGAATGATATAATGAAGTAAAGAAATATAGAATTAGAAAAAGGTAAAGCTTGGTATAAAGGCTTACGCGGAGACTATTTTTATTATCGGAGACTATTTTGTTTTATCTCAACCTTTTAATGAGTTATATAAAAAGGAAAACACATTTTTTTTATTGAACTTGCCTCTTGTCTTCTTGTCATGCAATTAATTAGTTATGACTTTGACTCTAATGACTTTCATAGGTAATTTTCATTGAATTTTTCTGCCATTTTTAATTTTATATTTTATATTATTGACATACTATTTTGTGTGTTGAATAGTTCTTACAATATATTGAAATTGGACCCCATTCTCAAGGAGATTTCGCAATAAAAAATAATCAGTTAAATGGAACTTGCAAATCTAATAAGTATCAACCTCTTAATGAATACTTCTTTCCCGTGAAAGCTTGAAATTCTTGGGTTTTTGTCTTCTCCTTAGGTGACTCTTGGCTTTCACTTTTTGCATTTGACCCAAAAACAAGCTTTCCAGAAGTTTTAAGGAAACTCTTGGTTTTATTTTCAGTTTGTTGCTGCTTTAGAATTGGAGTGGAGCTTGGTTCAACTGCCTGTGTCGTCGGTTTCCCATCCAAACGCCGTGCCGAGCCACTGAACGGAATCACTTGAGGAGTCTTTGTTGCTGCCTCTTGTTCAAATAGCATTGGATATTCTATGCCCATACGTGCTGCAAGATTTTAACAAGAATATGAGTATGAATTTAGAACAAGAGTAAAAATAATCAACTTGAATGACAAATATATAAAGCTTACTGAGTCGATCTAGAGCTGAAGCAGGCATGATAACTGAAAGACAAAAGAATTTGCTTTAGATATAGAAATTATCACAATGTCTGGTACCAAAGTAAGATGATAGTGCACTTACTTTTATCACCGTATTCCAAAATTGGCTGCAAAAAATC